ACGGGAAGTTGCCAATGTTAACGATTGGTTCAATAATGGGCCATGCTTGGTACCCAATGGTTTTTTCTTGGCAAAACAATTGGCAACCATCATTGGACCACCAATGGTTTAAACTTGGGATGATCACGCTACTGCCAATGATCGGTAGCCAAGCATCGGGCCAATATTAGTTGCCAAGGAATTGCCAAGGAAACAAAATCGATTTTCAAAAGCTTGATTTTTTATTGGCAGCCAACAAAAAACCAAGGTTTTGAAAATTGATTTTTTTTAATTATTAATTAAAATTTATTTTTAAAAAATATATTTTTCAAAAATTTATTTAAAAAAAATATATTTTTTAAAAATATATATTTTTTTAAATTAATAGAACATATTAATTTAATTTGTCACCTCTGGTAAAACAAAGATGAAAGACTGATAAATTCCCTCACTTTATATTTTACAGTGGAGGGATGACTGTGAATGTCTTTGCGAGAGAGAAGCAGGTACTTATATAGAGCCAGTGAGAAAGGTCACAAGCGAGAAGAAATCACTAGCATGCACTCTGGCGGCGCTTGTCGGAAGTGGCGCAACGTTGGTTGCCAAGCGCTGTGTCGATAATGTCAGGATATGCATGCGCGCCAGAAAACAGTTCCGACAAGCGCCGCCAGAGTGCATGCTAGTGATTTTTTCTCGCTTGTGACCTGTTTCACTGGCTCTATATAAGTACCTGCTCCTCTCTCGCAAAGACATTCACAGTTATCCCTCCACTGTAAGATATAAAGTGAGGGAATTTATCAGTCTTTCATCTTTGTTTTACCAGAGGTGACAAATTAAATTAATATGTTCTATTAATTTAAAAAAATATATATTTTTAAAAATAAATTTTAATTAATAATTAAGAAAAATCAATTTTCAAAACCTTGGTTTTTTGTTGGCTGCCAATAAAAAATCAAGCTTTTGAAAATCGATTTTGTCTCCTTGGCAATTCCTTGGCAAATAATATTGGCCCGATGCTTGGCTACCGATCATTGGCAGTAGCGTGATCATCCCAAGTTTAAACCATTGGTGGTCCAATGATGGTTGCCATTAATGTTCCAATAATGGAACGGAGTTCGCCAAGCATGGCCCATTATTGAACCAATCGTTTACTTTCCATTGGGTTTAGAAGAAAATTAAAATTTTTTTTCGGAAATAGGTTAAGGAAAAAGAAAATAAAAGTTGTTTGGGAAACTCTTCCTTTGTAAAGTTTTAAATCTGAATTTATTATTTACTTTTTGACCAAATCCTCCTACCTTCTTCAGTTGAACGTTTTCGTTGAAATGAGACTGATAAATGATGCACGTTCTTATTTGTAATTAAATGTCTATTGTTTCGATAAAAAGAATCATTTCTGTAACGAAACAGTAATTTCTTAATTCCTTACTTTTAATTTGAAGTAAACGTAATTAATAAATTTATATGTTTAAATTTTATCTTTTAATTTTATATGTAAATTTTTGAAAAGAGATGTCTCGTTGCTTGAGTTGTTTTGGGGAAAATACCAATGATGGCAGTAACGGCTGAGTGAATCTATAATTTATGGCCAGTTTTCTATACAAGTTCAAGAAAGAAGTGGAAGATGTAAATGTAAGTATGACAGATTTATTGTCACGAGATCGCACGCTCTATTTTGAAATGTAAGATTATACACTTGCTGAACAATAAACTACTATTTCGTTTTATTTCTAAATAACTCAAATTGGTATGTATCTGTTTCTACGTTTTTAATGATCCCTTTTTTATAAAGAAAGGAAAGACAGAACTGAAGTGTTATAATTTGTAAGATTATTTGTGAAATAATCCAGAATCAAATTAGCATTTAAATATGTTTGACAATTAATTTTTATACTATTTTGTACATTGGTTGACATAGTTAGAGGGCACGGTGTTATTTCTCCTATTTTCTTTGCAAAAGCGATAGGGCTATAACGACCAATATTAGCTTGGGTATCACGATTTGAATCTAATTGAATTATAACAATAAAAGAAGATGACATTTTATTTGAATATCTTAGAAGTCTGTTTGGTTGGGTATTCTTTGGTTGCCATTCTAATTGAGTTTTTGTATTATTATTTCTATTGTCAGTTGTTGGGTGTATGCGTTTAATGGTGTCCTGTTTAGAAATCTCTATCTGCAATGAATGTTTTGGATCTCACTTACTTCAAAGCTAATCGTCCATCATCAGTAACTTGCTCTCTTAGTTACTCTTTTTCTTCAGAGTATGTTAAACATTGAATCCTTAGAATCTCAATGGCGTTTATTTAGAAATGACTCTTATGTTGACTCTCTAAAGTCGGACGATTTTTATGAACTTTGAAGTGAAATGTCACAAATTTAGAATGGTAACGGTATTCCAAAATATGGAATAGGGAATAGTACACTGGTTCACCTTCTATTCAATTATAGTAAATGCCAAGTTTTCTATGTCCAGAAGTGACCAAATAAAATATAAACAAATATAGACAATTAAACCCTTAGATAAATTTATTTATTATTAAATTCTCTGGCTTTTGAAAACAATATTTTGCATTTTGTAAAACATTTTGCTTTCTCCAAGCGAACTCTTATTAGTGTGCGTGCGTTCGTAATTAAGCGAAATGCACCCGTGACCAGAAACCTATTCTGTGAACGTGACATTAGTTTGTTTTAGTTCAACTACATTTCAGGAAAAACGTATAAGGTTTTGATTCATGAATCCCAAAGGTCTCCTAAAACTAAATTCGTCATGTTTTCGACAATTATTACCCCTTCTGTTTTTTCAATGTCGACGTTAACATGACTCCGTTAATTGAAGCATAGTACATCCAGAAATGAAACCAAATGAAATTTTTTTTTTAGAAAAATATAAGAAACGATAAAAAATATCAAAGCAAAATAATACACAATGCAGATAACAATTATTTTTAAAAAGTTGGACGTCACAATATCTGTTTTTTTAAATTATCAATGCTCTACTCAAAATATTCGATGAAATTACATAAAAATATATAATGTCTATGAAATAAAGTTATATTTAATTAAAAGTTTTCATCTAATACTAATTTTTATTTAGTATAATTTAATTAATCCAATTTGATTTAATTTCAAAAATATTGTATATTATGGCAACTATTTTTATAAATAATAAAATTCTTCTCGCATGAGTACGTCTCACGCTTGTCTCCGCTTTTACTGACCCAACAACTGACTCTGTCTGCCCTCTTTGATTCTTAGGCGGAGTCACGAACAGTGACATCTCCCTATCTTACCCACCTACTATTCTTCTCCTTGCCTCCCAATCCAGTTCAAATCAGTTGCTCGACTGTGTCCAAGAAAAGCCGAGAAAAAGATAATATTTCCACTAGATCGGAAATTATTTGTATAAATTCAAATCTAATATATTATTTGAATAAACAATTTTAAAAATTTTAGTCGTATATCTATATAATTCGTATTTTTGTAATAACTCGATGTAATAAGAATTTATAATTTATCACAATTTAGGGTGAGAATTATTCACAAAATATGTATTTTTCTCCTTGTATAAACTATACATTCACAAGCATAAAAAAGTAGTTGGACATTTTTAAAACACAATATGAATTTTATATTTTTATTTCATTTTTTTGTTTTAATCAAATTGTCTCAACATCACACAATATAAACATTCATTTCTATTTCTTAATTAAAAAAACATGTTTTAGTACAACTTTTTATAGGTTAGGTTTTCAGGTGTCAAAAGAAAATGATAATATATGTGACGCGCTCCCAAGAAAGGTACCTAAGAAGCATACGAATTATAGGTTGGGTTCGAGTTAGATTTATCTTGATTAAAAGTTCATTTTTAATTATTTGAATTTGAAACCAATATTCATTGAATATTTTGAATATAGTGAAGACTTTTGAAGACCAACAATTTTTAATTAATAATTGATTCTCTTTCCGTATTTTTACTTACAAAATTTAAAACATAACCTCAAATTTTTTGCTTCTTAGGTACCTTTCTTGGGAGCGCGTCACATATTTATTATAAGTTTAACAAATACAGGGATGTACTCTATTGTGACTATAATGTCTAATTTAGATACACTTATATTTCATTTGATTTAAAATTAATATTATTTCAAGTTTAGAAATTGACTTTTTTCCGTGAAGTAATTATATAGAGAAGTGTTCCACTCATAGAGACATTCCTTTATAAAAATATTAAAATTTTTATATTTTAAAAAATTATCAATTACACTATTTTTTTTTAAATTCTTAAAGTTTTGAATAATTTAATTCAAAATTTTCAAAAAAAAAAAAAATTGAATTTTGGAAGAATTACAGTTACAATTTTTGAAAATAATAAAATTTTAAAAGGTTTTTCATTGAAATTATTTAAAATTTCAATTTCTATGGAAAAATAAATAAGAATAAGTTTTTAAATTTTTGTATGAAAAAAAGTATCGAAGTTTTGAATAATTTAATTTAGAAATTCCGAAAAAAATGGTTTTTTAAAAAATGCAATTAAAATTTAAAAAAAAATGTATTTCCGAAAATAATTTTAAAAAATTGAAACACTAAAAAATTTTGTCAAATTTCATTGAAATGATTTTTATATTTTATTTATTTATTTTATTTAACATATAAACGGGAGATGCCCTTTCGTACATATTTACTTATAAGAATAAATTCAATTACTATAATAATTATATTTTAACAACAAACATTTAGGCTTGCTCAATATTATTAAAATTTAACACTATTCTATACGTAATGCTGAAGGGAATCTTTATAAATTATTATCAAAAAAATTAACTTGATGGCAGAGATAATGTATTAGCTTCATTCATTTTAATGAATTTTATTTGTTTACTTTTAGAAATTATTTTAAAATATAATCTATATAATTATAGTTAATTTGCTTGTTGAATTTCCAAACTTATTACTTATACTATATTTTTTATTTCAATTTGTTGGTGCAAAGGGTAAAACTCTTAATTAAACCTTTATAATGTTATGTTTAATATAATTTTAACACTTTATAATAACTTTTTGTACAACGACCAAATATTATTATTAGTTTAATTTTGATACTATGATATTTGTTATAGAAAGAAAATAAGAATACGTATATTCTTGAACAAATGTAAATTATTGTCGACAATACATTAATGTATCACTTTGTATAATTAATTCTATAATTCCAAGTCATAATTATGATACGATTTAGAAAATATTTTTAAGTTTAAAATATTTGGTGTCCATTATCATTCTTAAATGAGAGACATAGTGCATGTAAATCTTGCTTCTGTGCCTCTTGGAAAAATACGAAATATAACTGTCATGAAACTTCCAACTGACTGCACATCAAGTGTTCCATTTCCACAAAAAAGCAATGGCAGATTTAACGGATTAGAAGGATTTGTATAAATACTTAAATGTTGACTCGCACACAGTAGCTGAAATATGAAATTTTAAAGAAATAATTGTTAATATTTTAAATGAAAAACAAAAGCAATCAATATTTAAAATATTAATTAAATTTTTTGTCGAAAGTTGTAAATTTTTTAATTTAAAAAGCTGAATTTAAAATTCAGATTATGTTTAAATACGTGAAAATAAAAAGATCACGGACAAAAATAGTTGGAATTTTAAGTAAATATCATTTACCTTAGCTAACTTAATTTCTTTTATAGAAATTATTATTAGTTAACGTATCTTATAATTACTTCTTGGGGACAATTCAAGTATTACGTAAGCATTTAAGGGGCAGGGGGGGGGGGGTCTAGCTATTGCTTATTTCCATTAGAAAAAATGGCGCTAATGCATATAAAAAATCTTACATGGGGGATGGGGGGGGGGTCTAAAAACCTGAAAAATATGCTTACGCAATACTTGAATGGCCCCTTGCAGCTAATATTTTTGCTGTGAATTCTAATTATAAACTGTCATAACCAAACATAATCTAACTATTGGATATAAAAATCATTTTCATCAGTGATCACAAATAGAAAAATATCAATATATAACCGAAATATGCAATACATTATTTATCTTACCGATGTTGGTATAATTATGTCGATACAGTTAAGCAAAATTCGAGAACCTGGAGGACACACGGCCCTAAATCTGCAATATTGGGGTCCAACAGAAAAATTTGGATATGGAGGATTATAAACGAAATACGTTTGTCCAAGCGCTATTTCAGTAAAAAAGTTACAATCTGTATCTTGAGCCTTACTTACTTCCAGTAGAAGAAAAAATATAAATAAAAAATAACAAAGTTTCAACGAAATTCCTAAAAACAATAAAAAATACAATACAACAATATTTCTTAATTGCGCACTCTGTGGAAAAATAAATATACATTAGTGTTCAACTTAAACATTATAGTTCTAATAAGCAAATTAAACATCTTAAAACAATTTTCTTTATCTATGACTTCAATTAGAAAGTATTAATAAAATTATTTATTACAAAACATTAGAATTACCTAAATTATAAGTATTTTTTGCCCCTTGATGAATCATTATTGTATAAATTTTTTTCTTTTTCAGTATATACTTATTATTTTCCAATGATTTTCTATTTCCTTTCTTCCTCTATAATATTTAATGGCAAATTAATACTTATTTAAATTGCTGCAGGCTTTCTGTAAATTTCTGTTTAAAAAATTTTAATATATACCACTTCGTGAGGCTACTTTGCATTTTTATCAGATAAAAAATAGCCAAAAATAATAGCTTTAGCAAACATTACAAAATGAAAAAATTTACTTTTTATTAAAAATGTATGTATATAATGAAAATATTATTCATTTACTTTCACAAGTTTTTGCTTAATTTATCAATTTTTTATTTAACAATTTCTCAATTGCTGATTACAGACATAAAATGAATTTTAAAATATTTAAATTTGCTGTCGATAAAAACAATTGAATAAATATTTCACAAACTCCGCTACAAGCCTCTAATTACGAATCTAAAAATAAAAAGTATTTTTTTTTAATCGAAATGTTGAAAAAATATTTCTATTTGGCCTTAGGAATGTATCCACCAAAGAACAAAAAAATTTTTTTTTTATTATAAAGTTATTGTAAAATGAAGTTTTTTGCAACTTTTTAACCAAAATTTTATTTCTCCTAAATAAACCAAGCGGGAATGTAAAGGGAATAAAATATACTTTCGTTTAGACTTGGAAAAATTTTTATAAAGTTTATTTTTTAATAATTATTTACTAAATTTTTTATAAATAATTTATTTTTTTTAATGTTTAATTTTTAAAAAATTGAAAAAAAAATCTCAACATAGAATTAAAACTATAAGAAATCAAAATTCGTTAAGAAAATTTAGGAGTAATATACATGACAGTATCGATCGTAATTCACCATGAAAAATACACATGGAAAAAATTAACTTTTTAAAAATTAGTAAAATAAATTATTAAGCAAAAAATTCTCCAGGTCACAAATCTCTTTACTTTTTATCTGTACTAAGGATAGCACTGTAACAAAAGTTTAATTTTCAAAATTTTTGAGGCTTTATTATACGTATTTTGGAGTATAGAAAAAGAATTTTAATTATAATATTTGATACAAAATGACGTCTTAGCTAATGTTATTTGGAAAAAAAATTTTTTTTCATTGGAACCAAACTGGGACGTGGCGTATACAAAAATTTGAAAAAATAAATTATTTATTTTTATGAATTCAAAATTTTTCGGTCTCTAAAATCATAAAGTAGTTATTTCTGACATAAGGCAAAGAATATCAATATTTGTTATGTGCACGTGAGTAATTAAAGGCTTTTTTAGTGGAATTTGTGAAATGTTTATTCAATTGTTTTTGTCATCAGAAAATTTGAATATTTTAATTTTAACTTTAAATCAATAATCAGACATTAAGATAGTTTCAATTTTTTAAAATTATTTTCCGAAATACAAATTATTTATAAAAAATTTGAATTACAGTTTTTCAAAAAACAATTTTTTTCGGAATTTCTAAATTAAATTATTCAGAACTCTGATACTTTTAGTTAAACAAAATTATTTAAAAATTTATTCTTATTTATTTTTCCACAGGATTTAAAATTTCAAATAATTTCAATGAAAAACCTTTTAAAATTTTATTATTTTCAAACATTATAACTGTAATTCTTCCAAAATTCAATTTGTGTTGTTGAAAATTTTGAATTAAATTATTCAAAACTTTAAGAATTTTTAAAGAAAAATAGTGTAATTGATAATTTTTTAAGATAAAATTTTTTAATATTTTTATAGAGAAATGTCTCTATGAGTGGTCCACTTTTCTATTTACTTAAATAAAATTTTTCAGTTAATGAGATTTAAAGACTATTGTACTGATATTCATTAAAATTACTTGGAATAATTTTTTGACAAACAAAAATCAAAATTAAGAATAAATTTCACTTTTTTGAGGGATGGACACAATTTTTTTTTTTCAAGAAATGTTAAGATTTCTTGTTTTAAGGAAATGTAGATGAGAAAATTGGCCTGGATTGTTTAACTGTGGAAAATTAGTGAACACAACGTATCTTTAGTGTTGAGGAAAATTTTTGTGGGTCACAGAAACCCTATTATTTTTATTAGGGGGAATTGTTTGGAAGGAATAAACTTTACCGAAAGCTCTGTATCAGTAATAAGAGAACATACCTTCCACCATAAGTTTATCTCACTCGCTCTCATGGGCTATGATTGATATGTGAGTTTTACTACATAATCTACTTCTCTATATAGAAAACGATGCTAAAAGAACCCTTCATTTCTCCCCTCAAACAGAATCTCTTTTCACACACTCAATATATATATATATTTAAGACATCGATGCTATGAAAACCTCAACATTTCTCCCCTCTCCAAAAATTTCCCAAAATATTAAACAATAATTTTTAATAGTAAAATTTTATATTTTTTTTTATTTTATTTTATTTATTTATTTTTATTTATTTTTACCACACAGCATACAATATTTTCTAAATATTAATTATTAAAATAATAAATATTAAAATTTTTAATTACATTCTAGTTATCTTGTTCCTACAGTAACTGCTTGTTTTCAATTAACAGAAAGTTTAAACAATTAACTGAAAAAAAAATTGGTTCAATAAAAAATATAACTGCAAGGCAAAATTATAAAATATTTTTTTTAAATCAATTCTTTAAACAAATTAAAATTATTTCAATAATTGTTAATTAATTGAAAAACATTTTTAAATAATTTATACCGTTAAACGTATTAATATAAGAAAAAAAGTTTTTTAGAGTACTTTTACGAAAATTTGGAACTTAAATAACAAATAATTATTTAAAACATTAAAAAATGTTCTGGACAAAACTTAATTTAGCTTGGAGTTAATAATTGTTGCTAAAATTTAAAATTTAAACAATTGTCATCTAATTATAAAATAATTCAGAATACTTTGAATACTAATTAAACACAAGATACGAGAAAGAAACGTTAAAAAATCGATATTATAACGAAAAAAACAGGTTAAATTATAAAATATTTAAAAAAGGGGTAACTTTAGGGTAGTGCTGTAGAGGGTTGGGGTAGTCAAAATTTAAAGTTATATAGGTCAAATTACTTGGCAGAGAGCCCTCTATAAATCCTAGTAGCTTATTGTTAAATTTTTTTAAAACCCTCGCGTACGATCTTGATTTTTCGAAAATTGAAATTTTTCCCAAGCATTTTACATGGAAAAATTGAAGTGTTCGGTCTATTCCTATCAATATTTTTTAAAATAAAAAAATATGTAATTCGAAATATAAGGAATTTATCAATCTTCCAAGTCAAAAAAATAAAAAAAACAACTTTTAACGTTTCGACAGCTCAGCTGTCCTCTTCAGAAACTGAAAATATTTATTAACAATTAGAAAATAATAAAAAATACAAAAAAATTATAAAATAAAATTTTACAACAAAAATTACCGAAAGTAACAGTTGTTAAATAGCTTGCGACCAACTCAACGATTACAAATCAACTAACTGCACTAATAAGGTTTAAACAAAAGACAAAGGTCGATGACATTGCAGAAAACAAAATTATAATACATAAAAAAACAATAATAGTGAAAAGAAAAGGAAACTAATAACCGAGATAACAAACATCAACTGACAAATATTGTAGAAATAATATTAAAAATATTTTTAAAAATCTTTATAAAAATGATTCAAATTTTTTAAATCATCTTTTTTATTTATAGGTTTTTTTTTGTAAATTAATATGAATCATCTCGCGGATATCAATCTCTTATACATTTCGCTTAATGATTTACACAATATCATCTTTTTTTATTTTCAACCATACTTTTTTTCAATTTAATAATAAATATTACCAACAGATATATAGAACCCGAATGGGTTCACCTGTTTCTGGATTATTTGCTAACCTTGTAATGGATGATCTTGAGATTTCTTGTTCGCAAAAATTATCCTTTAATCCACTTTTTTATTTCCATAAGGTGGATGACATTATTACTTGTATTCCGTCTAATAAGGTTTCTGAAATGCTAGACACTTTTAATTCATATGATGAGCGCTTGCAATTTACGGATGAAATTGAAACGAATAATTCTATCAGTTTCCTCGATGTTCTTCTTATAAATCAAAATAATAATTTAATTACAAACTGGTTCACTAAATCTACTTATTTTGGTAGATTTTTGAACTTTTTTTCACAGCATCCATTATCACAAAAAATAGCAATAGTTATTTGACAGACTGACTGACTAACAGAGTTATCAAACTTTCAAATCAAATTTTTCATCAAAAAAATTTTGATATTATTCATAACTTACTGTTACAGAATGAATGGTTATCCAAAAAATTTTATTAATAAATATATAAAAAAACGTATTCATTTTATAACTTTAAACAAAAATCGAGTGGATAATTCATTTTTTTATCGTAGAGTGAGTAAAATACACTACCGTCGGGAATTATCGGTACGGCTGCACGCGCACGGCCCAAAAACATACCAATAATTAAATCAGGATTTTTTTGGAAATACAAATGTCAAAAAATTAACAAATATACCATTCGAAAGATTATTAAATTCTACGATTAATGATATATAACTGAAAATTTTAATAATTTGTACAAAGATTGCAGCAATCTACAAATTTGTGCAGGGGTTGAAAAAATTTCCAAAAAAATTTTATTTTTAAAATTTTTTTGTCAAATTTGTCGATTGCTGCAATCTTTGTATAAATTATTAAAATTTTTAGTTATGTATTATTAATCGTAGAATTTAATTATCTTTCGAATGGTATATTTGTTAATTTTCTGACATTTGTATTTACAAAAAAATCGTGATTTAAAGATTGGTATGTTTTTGAGCTGTGCGCGTACAGCCGTACCGATAATTCCCGACGGTAGTGTATGTTTACCGTATGTTAGTGACTTTTATAAAATGACTTCTATTCTTTTAAAACAAAATAATATAATAACTATACCTCGAATTGTTAATAATAACAGCCATATAAGAAGAGGAAAAGATGAGACAAAAAAGTGTGATAAAACAAACTGTGTTTACTAGCTTAATTGTATGAATTGTTCTGCTTGCTATGTAGGTAAATCAAAAAGAATGTTAAAAAAGAGAATTTATGAGCATCAAAAATCAAAA